TAAGATCAATCTGTAAGTCCCTATTCCTTCTATCTGTGCCTTCATTTTGTTCTCCATGTACAAGAATTTTTCAGTTCTGTTTATGGGCTGAATCGAAATAAATCCCTACACTACATGTGACACATGAGTAGTTGCACCAGAATCTAACCACTAGATGTTTTTAAGTACCTCAATAAGATTTGATTCAAAGTATACTGAAACATAATATATACCTTTCCTTTCAAATCAAACCTTTCTATTCTGACAATCTTTCTTGAAGTGACCAGTCTTCTTGCAGAAGAAGCATCTCTGGTCCTTCTAGATTCGGCCTTCACGAACCTTTAATAAGGCCTTATTCTTCTTGTCCTTGTTGTCCTTTTTACCTGATTTAACCTTGCTACTACTAGCTCCTTCATGAAATGTGAGATGGACGGAGTGTTCTTTCACCTTCTTTAGCCTCCCTTCCTCCTGAACCAGCATGACCTTAATTTCTTGTATATTCCATTTGTCCTTAATGGTGTTGTAATTCACCTGGAACTGACCAAACTCAAGATGGAGTGAGTTCAAAATAAACTGAACTAGAAAGAATTCCTTTACCTCTATGCCCATTGATTTCAACTTTGCTGCTTGATTGATCATGTCAGTCACATGGTCATGAATAGGCCGTGACCAATCAAACTTTTTAGCAGTCAACTCAGTCAATAGGGTACCTGACACGGACTTGTCAGTAATGTCTGATTGTGCATACTCTTTTACTTTTACCATAAATTTCTTAGTATTTTCAGTCTTTAGCATTGATGGATTCATATTTTCAGCCATAGTCATCTTCAGCAAGCTCAAGCTTAGCCGTTTGACCTTTTTCAAGCCTCACGAAGAGTCCTTTCCTCTTCAGTACTGGTTTCTGTGACAGCTGCAGGCTCTTGTTCCATAATGATTGCTAGGTCTAAGTCCATAACACCTAGCTGGAATCAAACTTGTTCAGCCTAATCATCATAATTGAGCCCATTGAACTTAACTATGTCATTGCTCATGCCATACATATTCATAGGGACTGAAATATTTAACACATGCTTAAACATTTATGCTTTGAATAAACTTAATAGATTCAGACAATCAACTGTGTTCAATTATGCATCTAAGTTTACCTTTGGGTAATGCCTAAATACACAATTTATCTATAATGATGCTAATAAACAACTTTAATTGACAACCAGTCACTCATACAATTTATCTACCCTTAAAATTAAGCACTAAATTGTGAGATTTTCATTATGATCATACAATTTAGAATTAATTAATTTAAGAATTTAATCACTTTGGTGAGTAAAATCCACCTTGATATAATTCTAAAATGATCTATAAATTTTATGAATTATATTCCTTATTCTGCCATGAAATCACTATGCACGGTCGTGCTTTTACTTTATGCATGGTCGTGTTTCAATGAAGCAAGGCCATGCTCATTTCTAATGCATGCCCCTACTTCCTAAAGCGTGGCCGTGCTTACAATATGCAAGGTCGTGTTTCGTTGAAGCATGGCCGTGCTTGTTTCTGATGTGTGGTCCTGCTCCCTGATGCATGGCCCTGCTCACTGATACATGGCTCTGCTTATTGATACATGGTCCTGCTCATATTACAGATTCAAAATTCAACATTTCTAGCTTCCAAAACTTTAGGGTTTTCAATTATTGAATCCAAAACAATTATTTAACATCAAAATTATGTCAATCCATCATATAAAATACCTAGGGTTCATGTAATTTGGGAACAAATTTAATGGAGAATAAACGAAATTCACAACCTTGCTCTAATACCAAATGTTAGTATTTTCTTAATCCATTATGTAATTTTATGAAATTACCATTTCTCAACTAGATCTTGAATTACGTTGTTCTCACAACACAATACATGGTTCTCATACAATTAAGGGTTTAGAGAGTACTAACCTAAATCTATTGTTCTTTAATGTTACCTCTCTTTTTGATGTCATTGATCCCTTTGTATCTTCTCCAACTCTTCCTTCCTCTTTTAATTCCTCTCGGATGGTTAAGAGAAAGTTCTTTTCTTGCGTTTACCGTGAGCACACTTAGAGACTGTGAAAGTGATAGAAAATAGAAAATGTTGTAACCCCTATTTGGTAACCGCTCTTTTATCTTTTATTTATCTGAAGGGAGAGGGGAGGATTTCCTTATAATTGTGTTTACAATTATATCTTTTATAACTCTATATTTTATATTTAACCACCATCACATTAAATCATTAATTAGAGTTATGTTATAAGTTACATAGGCTACAATAATAAGATTATTAAAATAATCTAACACTAACTACTTCAATTTTTTACTTACAACTTTTCAAACACACCTACTACCATCAACAAGATCAAGAAGGTCTTTGGCTTGAAATTGTCAAGTTTAAGTTCTTAAAAGAGTCCTTGCTTAAGTTTGGTTTCCTCTTCAAAATCTAACATAGTGTAAGGAAGAAAAAAAGAAGAGAAAAAAAAAGATAATAAAAGGAAGATAAAAGAAAAGAAGAAAAGGATGAACAAAAAGAAATGATAAAGCAAAAATAAAAAATTTAAAAAAGAAGATAAATAATATGTGACAAAAGAAAAGAAATAAAATTTTAATGAAATTAACAATTTAAAAAAATTATTTTGAGTGTTTTTAGAAGTTGAAAAAAAATAAATTAAAATATTCTTAGTTGAAGATAAAATATTCTTTTTATTGAAGAAAAATTGAGAAGATAAAAAATAAAAATTGACTTCCAAAAATAAATTTAGAAATTTTATCTTATGTTATTTCTTCTTCAAGTTAAATATATTTCTTATTTATTTTGTTTTTATCCAAACATAAATTTAAATAATAAATTGATTGATTTGATAAGGTTAGAAACCAAATTAACTAATGATGTCAGTTACCAATTTTAAAAACTAAACTAAACGACTGCTGTGAAAAGTTACTATTTTTTTATATAAATTATATTATGCATGCAACATTACATGATACTATTATTTCTTTTATCACATCAAATTCTTTTCACATACTTTTTTTTACTGTATTTACTATAAAAAAAAGTTACAGATACAATATTTTAATAATACTAGCTTAAAATTCGTGTATAAGTTTTATATTTTAAATAAATATGCATATAATTTAATAATTAAATAACAAAATTTTATACTTTTGCAAATATTATATGTATAATTATTTTAAACAATGAATTTTTTAAAAATTAATTTGACTTAATTTTATAATTACTTATAGTATGGACCAAAATGATAAAAATTTAATAAAATTAAATAATTTTTAAAACATAATTTTTTTTAAAATATTAATTTTATTGTATAATGTTAAAAAAATTAATTAAATGTTAATAATAAATGCATAATAATAAATATAAATTTAAGAGATATAACTCTTAAAAATAAATTTTAAATTTTAAAAATTTATACAAAATAATAAGGAAAAAAAGTCAAATAAAAAATTTAATCTCTAAAATTTAAAATAAAATTAACGAAAATATAAACAAAAAGTAAAGTCAACAAAGTAGAGTGTAATATAGTATCATTTTTAATTAATTTTAATTATAAAATTTACGTGTACTGAATTATGAAAGAGAATAGATTTATTGAATATTTTACTTTAATATTAAACTTTGACTTTTAATATAGGAATTGATAATGGTTGATTAAAGACTAAAATAATTAAAAAAATTATAATTTTATATATTTTTAAAAGAAATAATAAGTGAAATTAAAGTATATTTAAAAATATATTAAAAATTTATAAAAATAATTTTATATAAAATTATAATTAATATCATTAAAATAAGTTATAACCATGTTAACTTAAATCATAACATTCTCTTCTTTTTTTCACAAATCAAAACATTCTTAGTTTTTGTTATTAGTCGTGTTGGACTAGCATCCCATTCTTGGGGTTATGGGCGGTTGACTTTGCCATGAAAGTGAGTGATAGAGTGAGAGCCTTAGATTCAGAGAATGTGGCTTCATATTGAAAAAAGAGAGAGAGTGTGTGTGTGTGGCTTCCTTAACTTACTGCAGCTTCGTTTGCTTTTGGCTATAACATTACTGCAGAGAATGTCTAAAATTGTTGTCGGTGGCGTAGGTGATTCTAGATCGAAAAGGTTAAGGTCGAAAGGGGATAAAATAATTTTAGAAAAATGAATTGCAAATCCAAATTAGAAACAATTAAAGCGATTTTTTATGAAAATAATAATAATAAAAGGGACCAATGTAAAGGAAAACCTTGTAACATGACATGTGCCGACTATTTTGAATATTCTCCAAACGAAAAACCAAACCACACGACTTAAAGAGTTAAAAGCTGACTCAACTGGGAACCAATTGGAGTGGCTCCTTGACGGCGTAGAAATTTAAATTAAATGAAAGTGAACGGAAATTATCAAAAGGGGTGGCCGGCGCTTACGTCATCGCCAACCAAGGCAGCCCACGCGGCAAACGGTGGCTACTTTGGAAATATCAAATTAAACCACACATTACTCGCATTCTGACTAATGTGAATACAGACACACCTTCCCCCCTCTCTTCTATTCATATTTTCACTCTTCTTTCTTATAAAACATAAGTACTGTTTTTTAAGTTTTTTTCTAACGTTGTTTCTTAATACAAATATAAAAATAAAATTAACTATCCTCAATAAAAATATTATGTGAATAATATGCCACACATGTTATATATTAATTTTAAAAAGAACGAAATATATTTACTGTATAAAACAATACCTAATTTTTGTCATTTTCATGATACCTGTTTTCCACTCTGGCTTTCTCTTGTTTTTTATTTTTCTCCGGTTTCCATTCTTCAAAACTTGACGTCCAAGTCTCCATCTCTCTCTCTCTCTCTCTCACTTTCTCTTCACCATTATAAATAACACAACACACGTCTTTGCCCTTAGAAACTCACTCATCCTATTCCCACACAAACACACAACCCGGAACCCCATTCCTCTCACTCCTCCAACATAGTTGAAGTTTCGATGGCTCGCCTTGGCTCTTTGACGGTGCTATTCTTGATCCTCTTCGCTTCCCTGTGTTCATGTCTAGAAGGCAGAAAGCTTCATGTTGGTGCAGACAAACACAGCAAAAAGGTTGACCCATCTTCAAGGAACAGTTTGTTTCTGAGTTCACTTCCAAAGGGCACTGTTCCATCTTCCACACCGAGCAGGAAAGGCCACTCTACCGAGGTTGATGAGAAGCTCATTGCACGTCACCTCATTAGCACTGAACGACATCTTACACAATCTGTTCCTAGCCCTGGTGCTGGCCATTGATCTCATTCAGTATTATCATTTGTTTCTTCATGATTTTTTTAACACATTTTTTTATTTGTTCAGTTTTGTCATCTTCTTATATTCTTAGTATGGAAAGAGAGGTTAGCAGCAATTAATATAGGGATGGTTGAATTGTATAAAGCTAGTAAAAGTAGCATATATGGCTCTGTTTTCTCTGTTTTGGAGGGATACATATGTGTAGACGTGTAGTGATCATTTTGTCTTCTACACGTTCAATTTCTGGTCCAGTATGTACAAACAAGTTTTACATATACGTAGTCTTAATTGAAATATTATGTTTTGTGCCCTCGGAACATAAATTGGTTGCCCATTTGGAGATCGATAACCCGATTTCAATTTAGTAAGAGATTAAAGAATGAACACCAAGATTATGATTTTAATAAAAAATTACTTATTTCAGTAACTTTATTGGTCATATCTAAAAAAGTTATTTTTAACTTATTTTAGTGTCTTTCGTGAATATATGATCTCAGTAATCGTTTATAAAATTTTATTGAATAAATGTTTAAATGAATTGTATATCCAACCGAGCATATGAAACCGTAAGATTGTTGATTACAATTGAATACGGAACTATTTTGTGTAGATAGTTAATATCATTTTTGAAACATCTTAAAATTTACAAACTAGCTATGTCAAGAGAAAATAAAATCTGAGTCCCTAATTACCCATGAAGTGTAATTTACGGAAGCTAAATTCAACAATTCTATTTTATGTAATGCATAATCTTAATCAGTTTGATTTGATGGAATTTTGAAGAAAAACTTATTTATATATATACCTATTTGAAATTCTTTCCATGGTACAATTCTTTCAATAAAAACTCCTTCAAGAAAGAAAAAATATGTTGGATTTGGTTCTAATATTTTGTATAAAAGTAGTAGAGTAGTACTCTGCAATTTGGGTTGCATCAATACGGAAAAACGCGTCCAATGTAAACCTAAAACATCCCATTGGTCTTTGTTATTTTCTGTGAAGATGGGTTCAGAAAGGGATCACCGTCGTGTCATCATTGGCTATTGCAGCTTGTGATCTTGCGTCTTATATTTATAATTTTTATAAGCATTGTTAGTATAAACAACATAAAAAGAAATGGGTCGCGAACATCACGTTACCATGATAAACGTGACAAGTTGCCATTCGTTGACTTCTTGGGTTTTCTACTTTTATTTTTTCTTTTCCCCAAAAGAAAATGTTCTTTTTTTATTTGGAATTGAGGTTACGTAGTTGAATAAAATTATAAAAAGTTTAAGCTCATTACAAAGTCGTCAACCACGTATATTTCTCCCAGCACACAATGTGCATTCTTTGGAAGCAAGAAGATTCATGCTTTATTTCCATTTTCCCATTCCCTGCAAAGTTTCAATTCATATTTTCAAAGATCTAATTAGATTTCCTGGGTCTTTTAGTTGAGTTACGTCTTTGTATAATCTTCTATTCCATCGAGTAAAGTATGCATATATTTTTTGACGGGTTGGACAATAAATATTGAGTTCAATTTGGTTTCTTTTGTTTTTCCTGTATCATTGTCTACCCACGAAAATCACAACATTTGGCACACCATACACTCCCCCGGGACGTACACTAGGAAGAAGCAATTAATTAATGTTCAATTCAATTTACTTAACTCTCGTTAATTCAAGGGACTAAGCACAATCTAGTAGAAAAACATTCACTGAAGTTGCATAAAACCAAAGTATTTAATAAGCAACAAAAATTAATCATTAATTAAAAAAATGAAATTCTCAAGAGGAGGATTATGACAAAAAAGTTAATTAAGTGTTTTAATCATCACTCATCTTAACAAAACCATGAGCTTAATAACTCTCTCTAAGCTCATGAAAGAGAGAGAAATTATAAGTGCCTGCTAACAAGTTCTGAATTTTTCTAACAATTGAAGCATATAAATGGTATACATAGTGAAGTCACCATGAATGAGTTGTATTACATGAAAAATATTAAAGTAATAAATGACAAGAGACATGAAAAGATCTCAAGCAGTTGTAAGACCTTAATATAACAATCAATTATAAAAATGTACTATCTTTTATCTATAAATCATCAATAAAATTATTAGACTAATAACTTGTACATTACAAACAAACAAAAAACTTGTAAAACATATTTTCTAAAGGTCTTGAAAACTTCTATTCATATTCAAAGTTACTGCCCGATCCAAACAAAAAGACCAAATACCTACTAACTAGAGGAAGAATCCTAAAATAAAGATCCTTACATTTTAAAGGAGTACGATGAAAGTCAATCAAAATTTTGTACATAAAATTAACAGTGTTAGATAAGCAAATATCATAATGATATTTTTAAATAATTCATAAATACATAAAAAAAAATAAAGTATCATGATCATTTAGAAATTCAAGCAATCAAAGTTAAAGGTCCATTAAATTTTTTTTTTTAAAAAGACTCATTAAATAGTTTAGAGCACGTCAAATTGACCTAACAAATAAGCAATTACAAAAGTATTGCAAAGCATTTTCCTAGTTTCCATAACTAGCACAAATGAGAGCTAGTAAGGTTTCTTCTAGCATGGCGAGGGGAATTGCAAAAGCTTCAATAGCCTAGTACATGAAAAAGCAATTGGGGAAAGATACTCATTTATTAGCTATTATAGTAATCCTTAATTTAATAAAGTCCATTAACATTTTGGCCCTGAATCAAACAGTTAATAATATCTTGAAGGGAGAAATAAAAAAAAGTTTCCAATCTTTATAATATCATGAAAAAATTAGTGTAGAGTATTTTAAAATTTCATTTACTTTAATTTCACGTATCTTTTATACACAGTTTTAAGTGACAGCAATTAATAATTGAACTTCCTAATAAATTGAGTCTTTATTAGTCCAATTTGAATAATAATTTAAAAAATTATACCAATCTTTTAAAGATAACTTTATTTCAACCGGATCAATTCTACGTGAAAGAATTATTTTGTCGACCTTCTCATTCTATATGGCATATCATATATACAAAAATTACACTATAATTTAGGTTACAAAGTTATTGATCAAATCACCAAAAGATATATATAAAAAATACACACTACATCAGAAATGAGTTTCTGGAGCATTAACTTAGACAGCGGTTAGTAAAAATCGCTTTGTAACTATATATTTAAAAAGCGGTTCTCTATTAACCGCTCTAAGATCTATACTTCTAAGAGTAGTTCTCTATTAACCGCTCTCTAAAGTCACACATTGGAGAGTGGTTAATAAAGAACCGCTCTTTAAAGTCTTTAAAGTTGTTTATAAATGAAAAGTTCTATTCATTTTAAAGTCTTCCTAGCTAATAAAGTTAGTCTCTTATGTTCTATTCATATTTTTCTGTTAGCTTGCTCTCTTTGTCTTCTCTCACTAACAAATTGATTTTTTTTTTTTCGTATTTGTAGGTACCTCTTCATTCTCTGTTAACTTACTCTCTTCATCTTCTCTACGCTAACAATTTATTTTTCTTTCATATCTGTAGGTATATCTTCATTCTTTCTTAGTCTGTTCTCTTCATATTTTATACGCTAACAAATTATTATTTTTTTCACATCTATAGGTACTTCTTCATTCTCTCTTTCTTTCTTCTTCTCTTTGTTAATGGTGAATCATTCATTCTCTCTTTCTTTTTTTTCTCTCTATTAACATTAAAAATTATTCTACTAATTTTTTTTTCCTGTTTGGTTCATGCAGATGTAAACTGTTTAGTGTTGTTGGTTAACACCAAATGTATAAACTCAAGATTCAATTTTGATTTATGATAAAAATGAAGAAAACTAACAAAGAAATCAATTCCAAATTTTGATTTAAATGTAATAATAAATTAATTTTACTTTGCAGCAAAAAACTTAAAAAGAAACTAATTTCAAATTCGCAGTCTACATTTATACTTTGGATAGCGATTTCACGTGGAACCGCTCTCTTATCTTACACCTATACTTTGGAATCGCTCTCCAATCTTACACCTATACTTTGGAGAGCGGTAACTGCTCTCCAATCTTAACTTTTGAGAGCACTTATTTAACCGCTCTCTTAAATATAACACATCAGATAGATCAAGATTTTAGAGCAGTTCTAAGCGCTCTCTAATTTAAAATGGAACCGCTCTCAGATCTTCATTCTAGTGTGGTGACATGTGCTAAATAAAGAATGATTTAGATCTTCTAATACTACATGCTAGAACCTATATGTCCTTGACTTTTAAGCAGATAGAAACCAACGTTTGGTTTAGGATTCTTGATAGTTTTATTTGCTTGGGATGGTCATATTATTTTTTGATATTTTAGATAGAATATGATTCAATATAACATTATTTTGATAATTTATTTTTAAAACTGTATTATTTTATTAAAGGACAATAGATTGCAGATATTTCAAAAGTGTTGTCTTTTATAGACCTTCCATATTTGAAAGTTATAGTCTCAACCGATGTAAGTTGAACAAATGAACTTTTTTAATTAGATAAAAATCTTTCATTATTTAATTTTTTTATTCATAAAATTTAAATATTATTTTAAAAAATAAGCTTATTGTTGTTTAGACCAGAGATAAATGTTTTGTGGAAGAGTTAAAAAAAATAAAAATTATAAAATTTTAATGATAATTATGTAAATTTTATTAAAAACCAAAAATCATAAATAGTTGCGTCATTTTTAAAGTTAAAATTAGTATTATCTAAGAAAATTAATAACATATATTACAAAATCAAGTTTATAAGATTTTATTAATTTTCACAAGATTGTCTGGAAAAAAAAAACCCTACATGATTATTAAGTACAGTAAAATTCTCTTTACCAAACTTTTAACATAGTTATTGTACTGGATAGGACATCACTCGGTCTCAATGATAAAAGAAGGAATTTGAATACCCCTTCGACATCAATAAGATGAGTATCCTCCCGATCAAATTAAGAACAAATTAAAAGATAATTAAACCTATTAGGATAAATAATAGGATCATTATTTATTTAATTGAAA